CGTGCCGCTGCACTCCAGCCTGGAGTGAAAACAGTTTGATGTGCATTAGACAGAGCGAGACTCCGTCTCAAAAAAAAAAATAAATAAGTAAAAATAAAAAAAGTTGATTATGTATTTTGACCATAAAGAAATCTCTGGACAATGCACCTATTTTTCATTGAAAATCAAAATAGAATCTAACAACAAAGAAGATAGGGAGAAATTTCTTTTCTACTTCTAAAATTTTTAAGTTTTAAAATAACTTTTGGGTTAAAATAGAAACCAAAATTGGAAAAAAAAAGTTGGAAATTAACATGTATTATGTATTAAAACTTATTAAATGTAGCCGAAGTGATACTCTGTGGAAAGGTCATTACCTTGAATACTTTTATTAGAAAACAGGAAGTACTGAAAATAAATGAACTAATAAGTCAAGGAGATTGAGGAAGACATAGTAAACATGAAATAATCAATAAAGTTAAAAGAGAAAATGAATAAACAAAAAACTAGTACTTGATCAATGAAGCCACAGTTCCCTTGAAAAGACTAAGACAATAGAGGAATCTTTGATAGAAGTGATCAAAATGAAAAAGAGGGATAGAGAAAACATAACATACAGAGCGAAAAGTTAGTCACTAATGTTTTTAGTATAAGAGAATACAGCATATAGCTTTATAGCAAAACAACACACACAAAAAAACCTTGAATGAGATGGAAGAAAATAGGCTGTAAATTTGACTCAAGAAAACTTAAAATTATGACTAGCCTGGTAACCATAGAAATCAAAGATCTCCAAGAGTCAGCAGACCTAGATGATTTTACAGGCAAGTTTTAGCTAAACTTAAAAGTAATAAAGTTATAATAATAGTAGTAGTAATTAAAGATAATATTTTTTGAGCTGTTACCCTGTTCTAGACAGTGTTAAGTACTTTACGTATATGAGCAAATTTAATCTTCACAGCAAACTTAGTGGATAGTCAACAGTCTCTGTGTGAACACTTTCAATGATGGTAAGCTTTCTTCTTTGTGATATAGCCTGTTCCTTTGTTCGATAGTTTTAACTGGCAGTTCTCTAATTTACATGGATGGAAATGCCCTCCTTTATTGCTCCTACCCGTTAGTCCTAGTTCTGCCTTTTAGAATTATATTGCATAAACTAACCTCTTTCACATGGCAGTCTTACATCCTGGAAAGCAGCCATCATGTGTACTTTTCTGTAGCTTAAAAGACTTTATTTACAGCCTGTCTAATATCAAGATGGTAGTGCAACTGTTATTTTCATGATCTTCTGCTCTAGTAACCATATGAAAATGGACACGAGATTACTTTGAAGTTACTCTTCCTTGTGACCCCTTATCAACTCTCAGTAAGCATTTTTTTTCTTTTGAGAAATTTTATAGAAACTCCTAGTATCCACATTTTGGCATCCTTTAGTCCTGTAGTTCTGTGAATTTCCTGCATGGTTTTATAGAAACTGTTATTGGTAGTTTCATGTTCATGTCTTCCTGTCCTTTTAGAATTCTGAAAGGTAAATTGTTTGGGCCTGGATTTTGATTATGTGTATTTTAACTTGTCCTCAAAATTTGGTCTTTAATGACCTCTTAATGATGTTTATTAGTTTAAATATAATTTTCTTAATGGAGAACATTAAAGCACAATCAGAGTTGGCTTAATTTGTTTAGGTTGCTATAAGAAAAAACTTCTGAGACTGGGTAATTTATAAAGAACAGAAATTTATTTTCTCACAGTTCTGGTGACTGAGAAGTGTAAGATCAAGGCACCAGGAGGTTTGGTTGTCTGGCGAGGGCTGCTGTCTGCTTCCAAGATAACACCTTGTTGCTGCATCCTGCAGGAGGGAGGAACATTGCGTCCGCGCCTGAGGGAAGGTGGAAGTGCGAGAGAACCTAACTCTGTGGCCTCTTTTATAAGGTCTTAATCCAAGCCATAAAGGGAGGAACCTTTATATGACTTAACTACCGTTGAAAGGTCCTACCTCTTTGCTGTCAGATTGGCCGTTAAATTTCAACACCTGAATTTTGGAGGACACGTTCAAACCATAGCACCAAGGACTGAGTCATGGATTGTTCTGTCTCATGCTTAGTGCAGGATATTGTTAGGCATGGCAAACTTTGGAGTCAGATATACTTGGGTTCAAACTCTGACTCTGCTACTTACTAGCTGTATGACCTTGGCATACAGTCACTTGACTGCTCTGAGTATGTTTTCTTACCTGTATTATATTATTGGTATTTCTGCATCACAGAGTATTGTATGGATTAAATAAGATACCATGGCCGGGAGTGGTGGCTCACACCTGTAATCCCAGCACTTTGGGAGGCCGAGGTGGGAGGATTTCCTGAACTCAGGAGTTTGAGAATAGCCTGGGCAACATTGCAAAACCCTGTTTCTACTAAGAATACAAAAAAAAATTAGCTGGGTGTGGTGGCATGCACCTGTAATCCCAGCTACTCGGGAGGCTGAGGCAGGAGAATCACTTGAACCCGGGAGGCGGAGGTTGCAGTGAGCTGAGATAGTACCACTGAACTCCAGCCTGAGCAACAGAGTGAGACTCTGTCTCCCCACCAAAAAAGTAATTTATTAAATAAGATATATGTTAAGAACTTAGTAAAGAGTTTAGCTTGTAGAAGGTGATTCATAAATGAAGCTTATTATAAAATCACTGCATGATTATCTTTCCCATGCAGAAGATCTGTCCTGTCCTTCTCCATTTTTTAATTCTAAAAATATCCCAACAATCCTTTTTGCTGTCTTCAAAACATAGCTCTTCTCAGCTGGGGCAGTATTCTTCCTGGACAGTATAATTAAATGGTTTTCTACTCTTCATCTTTGATTATGGTTTTCTACTCTTCATCTTTGATTATTTCCCTCTCTCTTTGTGTATTTCTTCTTCGGGCACAATCTGTCTTTATCGAAAAATTTCTGGTATGGCAATATTTATTTCTTTAGATGTTTCCATATGTTTATGATTGTATAAATTGCTTTTTATTTTATTTATTTATATTTTGAGACTGTATCTCGCTCTGTCACCAGGCTGGAGTGCAGTGGCACAATCTCGACTCACTGCAACCTCTGCCTCCTAGGTTCAAGCGATTCTCCTGCCTCAGCCCCTGAGTAGCTGGAATTACAGGCATGCACCACCACACCCAGCTAATTTTTGTATTTTTAGTAGAGATGGGGTTTCACCATGTTGGCCAAGATGGTCTCAATCTCCTGACCTTGTGATCCGCCTGCCTCGACCGCCCAGAGTGCTGGGGTTACAGGTGTGAGCTACCACGTCCGGCCATTGCTTTTTATTTTTAATCTGTACCCTCAAACCATATTTTCTTTTAAAATTATTGACCATTGGCTCATAGCTTCTTTTCTCTACATTTTAAAAGAAATGTTTGCCTGAATCTGAAGTGTTGAATTGATGGTCCAGCATTCCTTTTAGTGCTGTGACCAATGAAGGGTCAAACCAAGGACACCTAGGACCTGAGATGGAGAAGGCAAGTTAGTAAGATAACAGTGTGGTAGCACTCACGAAGTAGATGCATAAACAGACCCTAAACATTAGGGTGGATCAGCAGTAGGGTAATCGTTGGGTGTCACAGGAAGTAAGTGGAACCTGTTAATCCAAGGGAATCTAGCGGGAGGCAGTAAGCAAAGTTCCAGGGAGGACAGGTAGTCAGCACCAAGAAAAATGTCTAACATTGAGGACACAGTGTAAGGTAATGTTTGTTTTTCAACAAATCTTTATGGAATGTCTATAATGTGGCAGGGTTAAGGTTCAGAACTCTAGGCCCAAAAGAACTGATAGGGTCACACTGGTCAGGAACCCAGCTGAACGCAGAACCCATTTAGAATTCTACATATTCATTGGTAAACTCTGGGCAGATTAGTTCTTTTTGAGCTTCTGTTTCTTCATATGTAAAGTGTAGATAACAACACCTTAAGGCTGAGAGGAATACAGAAATGTGTGTAGAGTTTCTTTTTGTGCCAGGCACTTCTTGTGACAAACAAGAGGAAATAATAAAAAGAATCCTAGCATGTGAAAAAGTTGTCAATCGTTTGATATCCTCTTTAGCTACTGTGTTGTGGTTCCAAGAATTGGCTATCAGTTTTAAACATAGAAAATACCATGAAGATTACAGAAAAAAAAAAAAAAAATCCTTCATTGTCCATCCTTCTTCTGTGACCTTCCCCAGAAAACTCACCATGATTTATGCCATGGTCCGTAGGAAGTCTAATTTTTTTACTTAATTGACCTTGTCCTTCTCTACTTGCTTAACTTCCCACGTGCTGTAGAATGTGAGCAGTTTAGAAAGTGTCATGTGGAGTTTAAGGGCTAAACAATTTTGGCCATGAGGAATACTTTTCAGTCACAAAGCATCACAAAAGTCAAATAAATATCCACGATTCAAAAGAAATCCTTAGTAACTCTCTGAACAGGAAATAAATTGCAGTATGGGATAATACAAAGGTTAGAACAGAATATATGTTCACATTATAATAGAAATTTTTATAATTGTAAACTATATATTCTGATTATAGAAAATTATGCACCCAAATTGACATTCAACCCCTAAGAGTAATAAACCCATGGCATGGCAGAGTAACTCCCTCTTAGAGGAGGATTTTAAACACCAGAGGGCAGAGTGTTCCAGAGGACATTTTCAGTTCACCTGGCCTTTCTTAAGTGTAAATACGCATCCTCACCTTGTCCATCAGTCATTCATGTCATTGGCAGAATTTCAGAAGTTAAGAAATACGGTCATTTCATTTTACTTATTTTTTTTAAAGACATAGAGTCCTGCTTTGTCACCCAGGCTGGAGTGTGGAGGCACGATCACTGCTCATTGCAGCCTCAACCTCCTGGGGTCAAGAGATCTTCCCACCTCAGCCTCCTGAGTAGCTGGGACTACAAGCGTGCACTACCATACCTGGCTAATTTTTTCATTATTTTGTAGAGATGGAGTCTTGCTATGTTGCCCAGGCTGGTCTCAAAGTCCTGGGCTCAAGCAACCCTCTCACCTCGGTCTCCCAAAGCGCTGGGATTACAGGTGTGAGCCACTGTGCCCAGCCAAGAAATATGGTCATTTTAGAGTTGTCTATGTGGTGTTGTCAGTTTTGATGACTTTGTTTAGCTAGCACAATGAGCAGTATTTTGAGTTATACCAGAGTTGGTTGAACATCTCTGTTTCCCCCTTTTCTGGTTAATGTTCACGTTTCTGATTTCTGAAAATGATTTTTTTTTTTTAAAATTACATATACATCTGTATCATTCTGTAAATTTTATAACTTTAGTTTAATGAAATAAGTAAAGTGAGAGAAAAGAGATTTGATATGTGTATCTTATGGCTCAGTATGCCCTTTTATGCCCTGCTTGTCAATAAAAACATTCTGAAAGAACCACCTGCCAACTCACGACCTTTTTCAAATGTTACAATTATCATTTAGAAGTAGCATCACACATTTGGGAAAATTTTATTCAGGGTTTAGATAGTAAAGTTGACATATAAAATAAAAACTAAGTATAAAAATTATCCTCAGAAATTCATTACATATCATTCATGACATGCATTAAACAGAAATACTGCTTCTCAATATGTCCAACCCTGCCAGTTTATCCTTTAGAGTTGTAACTATTTCACTCTTTACCCTCTTTTTCTTCGACCACCAGATGAAGTAGGTGGCTAATGTATAGGGATCACATATATGATTTTTAAGAATATATTTCTTTTTCTTCTCTGTCAGTCATTACCCTACTGCTGCAGATTGAAGTCCTGATCTGGAGCAGTAGCTGTTGCTAGGAAAGACACAACCCCCCATAGAAATTTGGCCAAAACTTGAATTGCTATAACTAGTAGAATGGTTACTTTCTTATTCCTGTGAGAACAGAGATTTCGTATGTACATCTTTTCATAAATATTACCCTACCTTTAAGCACTATAGAGTTTAGCACGGATGATTACTCCTTAGAGAAAGCTTTTAATATTGCAAGACTGGAAAAAGAATAAAAATAAAAAAGAATATAAAACTGTGTAAGTTTTAGCATGACTTAACCTAAATTAATCATAAAGGAGTTAAAAATTAGTAACCAAGGGGAAGAGCTTAACTCCTTAAATCTCTCTCCACCCTTAAGTTAAATCCAGTTTTTCAAACAAAACAAAACCTGTGTACTTTGTCTTTTAAAGTATTTTAATCATGTCCTCATCCCAGTTAGCTCTTACAGAGCATAAGCAACGTTAATGTGAAAGTCAGTGAAAAATTTAGTTGTGGTCCAAGTTTACATTTTTTGCATAACTTTTCTGGCATCTCTCTAATGCAAAGATCTGCTCAACATGACTTAATGATGGGGAGGTGGGAGAGAAACTTGCTCTTTTTACTTAAGATATTGGATAATCAGTATTCTAAAAAGTCACAACTAAAGAGAATTTCCCTCAAAAACAACTACTGGCGCAAGACAATATTTGAGTTAAAAAACTTACTAGATAGAAGAGATTAGACCATCCAGGAAACAGAATGAGATATGCTGTCCATAGAATTTACAAATCAAACATAATAGCTCATTTTTGAGTTTACACTACAGTTTTCTAGTTAGGTAGGATAAAAAGTAATAGGTTATTTTAAACAACTCTATTACTTTGCATGTTCTTTAATATTAACCATTCCATAGAAACTGCTTATACTTCTTTATTACCAAATTACTATTTTCTAAAGACATTTATAAGTCATGTTGTGGCAGTAGAATTACCTGTACATTATTATATTAAATAATCCTTGATCGCTAGTCCACAGTATCTGTATCTCCTATAATTCTAAAAAGAAATAGCTACTTGTGACAAGTATGTGCAGTGTGATGGGACACAATATCCAACCAAACATAAAACCTAGCCCGGAAAAATGTTTACCCTTTCAAGCAGTTTTCTGTGTCTGTGGAGTTCTATTGAAATTCCACTTTTCATTTTTATCTTTGCTATTTTGCTTAGATACTATTTAAAAAGATAATATAGATTTTTAGAATTTAAAGCCTTTGCATTGTATTTGTTTTTTCTATTCACACAGTAACGTTAGGAATAAGGTAGAACATGCTTTACTGAGATGAATCAGAGGGTCAGAGTAGTTAGGTGACTTACTCAGGCTTGTATTTAAAAGTAGCAAAGCTGTTAGTCCAGCTACAGTCAGAAGACTAGTCAAATGCATGTCCATCCCACTACATTGCAATTCTTTTTAGTCACATTTTACTGAGGTTCTTCATTTATGGAGATAAATGCATCATAAATCTATGACCAATTCATAAATCTATGACCAACAAATACATAACTTTCCCAGAATTTTTATTATAATGGCAATGTTGCCCACATAAGAGAATGGTGTAATAAGTAAATTTACCTAATATTTTGCTTTGTATTGTATCTGAATATTTCATTAAATAAATGGTGATGGAAAAGTAACACAGATATGATGTAGAACAATTTCATACAGAACTACCCTATCTAAATAGATGAAATATCGTAGCATCAGTGGCCCATGCTTAATAAATCTAATGAAAGGTATTTTTCTGCACCAGTCATCTCAGAGCCACGTCCAGAAGACTATAGAGGGAGTACCATTATGACAATCTATGCATTGTGCTTTCACTAGCTTCCCCTTCTCCTGTGATACCATTTGGAAGCTATCCTACTATCCCCTAAAAAGGGGAGCTCTTCCTGATTCCTGGGAGGTGAAGAGAAACTATGACAAGAAAAAGGTTGTCCAGGCCCAGTTAGGGAGAGGCCTTTAGAAGCATGGGGTGGACCAGTAACCCTGTCTTACAAGTGATTGACGGAGAAGTTTTCTTGTTCATGAATGAAGGCTATGAGCATTTTTAGCGAAGTTAGTGTCTTTTGAAACTTTCTTTATCTAGAAGGAATACAGATGATAGTATGCCTCTCTTTGAAATTGGTGTCATTGCTACTTTATTAGTCAATCAGTTGATAGTGCTGCAGTTTTGCCATATCTGATGCATACCCATCTGAATGAAAGGCATTTAATTAGGGTTTTAATATCTCTAAGTATTTAAAAATGAATTTTCTGCTATCTCAAACTCTAGTAGTTCCTTACATTGCAACAAAATCACTGTATAATTTTAACACTTAACAATAAATTATGGAGATACTGCAGACCTATATTAGCTTGCTAAAGTATTAATATTTTAAGTTACCTCAATTTTGTTGGTGCCTACTAAGTAACTGTTTTACAACAACGTATATTTACATAGCTCTGATTCAGAAATTCAGAAGAGTAAAACATGAGAAGGAAACAGTAAGAGAGGAGTTTACAGCTTTAAGGCATGAGGAGCTTACAGCTTTTTAATATAAATTGTTCCCAGAATCCATGTCACAGATCCTTATATGGTGCTGCTTTTTTCCTCTTGGTTGCTATGACAACAGCAGCACTGCACCATTCATCAGCTCTGGACCTGGGCTGCACTGCTAGCCTTCCTTGTTACTCCTGAATGTTAAGAAGAACATCCGTGAATCATTCACTCTGTTAACGCTGCGCCATTAGAAACCTAAGAACCAGTTCTTCCAGTAATTTGCTCTAACAGAGGGTGAACTAAACTGCGCCACAGAGAAAAATTGTGTAAAAATATTTCTTTTATCCTAATGGAATCATACAACCTATATTTGCTGCAGTATTCTGAAAGGATGAGCTTATGTCAGGCAGTCTAATGAAAAGAACTCGTCTGTGTAATCTCTTGAAATCATTAGTTGTTCAAAACAGAATACCACAGTGCTTCTCTGGATACAAAAAGAAGCAGGTGATGTTGTTAGGGGTTCTAAACCCCTTTGGGAGCGTCTCTTGTGCTTTGGGACCATAATCAACATCTGCTATAAGAAGTATCACCTGTAACGCACAGTAAGTTCTGAGCAGCGTAAAGAGCCGGCTGGAGATTAAAGTGTGGGTCATTCCTGATGTGTCGGGTCTGATAACAGTGTGACCAATGAATAAGAAGCCTTTCAGATTTTCTAGGGGAAAAGACTCTATAGTATTGACTACTGGGAAAGAAAAACTAAAACCTGTGAGTATGATGAGTAGAGTGTTTGTTATATGGATTTCTGAGCTGTAAAGTCTACTTTGTTCTTTATAGAAAAAGAAACACAGCCTAAGATAATTTGACATTTAGTTTTCAAGGAAGCCATTAAGAAGCTGTATTTTGGCACATTTATTAATTTTTAATTATGTGTTCTTTTGCTTTATATATTTATATGCATATATGAACCTTTTGAAATAGTTTTATATTTTAAAAAAGAATATGCATTACCGAGAAGGCTGTTAAAAACTCAGTTTTTCAATGTAAATGTGAAGGTTAGATTGTCTCTCCTGTTAGAGATTCCAGAATAGACTTCTACTTCCTGTTGCAGTATCCTTATAAATAAAATACCTTTTTTAAAAAATAACAATATGGAAATCTAGAATTTTGTAAATAAGCTTTCCTAATACATAAAGTCTTTCTTATTATTTCATTAACTGGAGTGTTTACAAATGGACTTTCTTAGTTTAAGAATTTTTTTTAACAACACAATTTGCAAGTTATGATATTTATTGTCTATTTTCCCAGTTTAGACTAAATTAGAAATTTACCTTTTTTTTTTTGCTTATATTTGTAGATCATTTGGTAATTATCAACAAGATATATTGATTTTATATACTGAATTTTCTTAAAAGACTCATTGTTTTCTGGCTTTTAATTATTTTCTCTTTTTAGTTCCTCAGCTAACCATGGTAACTTAGAAATGTCTTGAAAGTCGGAACTTGGTTTTTCAAAATTAGAATATTTGTAGTGATCTTAAGCCACTTCAGAAAAGAAAAAGATATTTTCATTTAGTCTTACTCTTTCAATTACTTGTCTTCCTAAGTTGCTCTTATTGATTTATTGATTGATAGAGACAGGGTTTCACTCTGTTGCCCAGGTTGGAGTGCAGGCGCAATGATGACTTGCTGCATGCAGCCTCCATCTCCCAGGCTCAAGCCATCCTCCTGCCTCACCCTGTTGAGTAGCTGGGACTACAGGCATGTGCCACCATATCCAACTAATTTTTTTTTTTTTTTTTTGAGATGGAGTGCAGTGGTACGAACTCGGCTCGATGCAAGCTCCGCCTCCCGGGGTTCACGCCATTCTCCTGTCTCAGCCTCCCAAGTAGCTGGGACTACAGGCGCCCGCCACCATGCCCGGCTAATTTTTGTATTTTTAGTAGAGTCAGGGTTTCACCTTGTTAGCTAGGATGGTCTCGATTCCTGACCTCGTGATCCGCCCGCCTCGGCCTCCCAAAGTTCTGGGATTACAGGCATGAGCCACCACACCTGGCCCTCCAACTAACTTTTTTTTTTTTTTGTAGAGATGAAGTCTCATGTCACCCAGGCTGATCTCAAACTCTTGGGCTCAAGCAGCCCTCCCACCTTGGCCTCCCCAAGTGCTGGGATTACAGGTATGAGCTGTCGCTCCCAGTCTGAGTTGCTCTTCTGAAATGCACGTTATTTGGAAAATATATACTTCAGTGATAAGACTAGGTTCTTTTAATTTACACAATTAGCAAAAGAAGATTTTTGTTATTTTGTCATTATACCATTCAATTTCTATTCTTTCTTCCATTTTTGAGACTTTGCCTATTTATACAAGCGAGTTTGCCCAATGTTTAAAAAGCCTTTAAATAGGGAGAATTAATATGTTAAGGGATGAAGGGATTAATCATTTATATTAAGAGTTATATATGTCATTAATAAGATTTTGCTTCTATCATCTGTAACAGATCAAATAAATATTCACATTTTAACGGTTGCTCTGCAAGTAAATAAAATAGGAATTTAAAAATTTATGTATATTTAATAATTGTGTACATTATAAGTTAATGCTTCTTTATGACTATCCTCACAGATGTGTATATAGAAAACAAAGGATTCTATATATCTATTATCTCTGAAACTAATTTTTATTAACAGTAGCCAAGAGGCCAGGTGCCATGGCTCACACCTGTAATTCCAACACTTTGTGAGGTTGAGCTGGGAAGATCCCTTGAGGCCAGGAGTTCAAGACTAGCCTGGGCAGCACAGGGAGACCCCATCTCTACAAATAATTTTTTTTAAAAATTAGCCAGGCATGATCACACATGCCTGTGGTCCCAGTGACTTGGGAGGCTGAGGCAGGAGGATCACCTAAGCTTGGGGAGGTTGAGGCTGCAGTGACCCATGATCATGCCACTGCGCTGCAGACTAAGTGACATAGTGAGACCCTGGGCAACAGAGCAAGACTGTGTCTCATAAAAAAAATATTAATAACAGAGACTGATTTAGGTACTTTTTAATGAGGTCAGTATTTTTATTAGCAGATTTATTCATTTTCAGGTAATCTTTCTTGGCCATATCCTTTGGTTGTTTTTTTTTATGTTGGGGTTTTACCTAATATGTGTTCCTTAAAGATTGTATATTAAACTATTTGTTTGTTTGTAAACTGGCTAATGTAAAATCCACTATAGACCTCCCTATTTTAAGAGATTCTGCAATAAGTCCTTCTATAATAATCCCTATTATGCTGATTTGGTGAATCTGTATGTATGTTAGGTTTTCTTAAAGGCCATTTAGTTTATTTCAGCATATAAAAATTCAAGTTGCAGATTTAACTGGCAGTGTTCTATGAAAAAAAATAAGACTTATGCTTTGGATGATCATTTAGCCCCTCAATTTCAAACTAGTTTGATATCTTCAGTCTTACTTTCTGAAATTCTTTAAAAAGTCTTTTCAAGGCCGGGTGGTGACTCATGCCTGTAATCTCACCACTTTGGGAGGCTGATGTGGGTGGATTGCTTGAGCTCAGGAGCTTGGGACCAGCCTGGGCCACATGGTGAAACCCTGTCTTTACAAAAAATACAAAAAATTAGCCAGGCATGGTGGTGCACACCTCCGGTCTCAGCTGCTTGGGAGGTTTAGGTAGGAGAATCACCTGAGGCTGGGAAGTTAAGGCTATAGTGAGCCATGATTGCTTCACTGTACTCCAGTATGGGTGACAGCATGAGACCCTGTCTCAGAAAAAAAAGAAAAAGAAATATTCAATATTATTCATATGACATACAACTGGGTAAAATCTTAGTTAATAGTAGGCGTTGCTTTTTTAGGGGAGGAAATGTGCTAGTGAAAGGAATATAACAATTACAAATGTAAACTCTTAAGGTTTTTTCCCCTGGTTTTCATTACCTGAAACTTAAGCATGTTGTCCTAATAACACTTCTGAATATCTGGGAATTTGTTAGTATCAGTAATAAGCTTTTACTAGAAAATAAGTACCTCATTTCTGTTAGAGTCAACATTAAGACATGAAGGACTCATATTGGTGATAAATTATTTTAAAAGGGTCATTTCTAGTTATCCTAGCTATTTTTTCTTGTGAGAATTAATCATAATATTTCAGTGATAAATGTGTGTTTTTTATCGCTCCAACATTATACAAGAAAACATTTTTACCACTGTAAACTTTGCAGCTTAGGACAGGTTAACTTCTGTGAGGTTTATCTTCTATAAGATGAATGAAATAGTGCATTTTTGTAGTGTCATTGTAGGCATTAAGAAAAATATATAGATAAAGAAAGCATCTAGTATAGTACTTGACACAGGGGAAGCTTTCTCTTAGTGAGTCTTTGATACTTACTTTCTCCCCATTCCTCTCCATTGGCCTACATCAGTGTTTTTTGGTCTTTTCTTTGGGAGTTCCTTTAGGGCAGAGGCATTTGAATACCTATCAAAGGGATCTGGGATGTAGCCTGAAGTGGTATCCAAAAGTCTCATGTTTCTTTAAAACAGTGTACATTCTACATGTATTTTTATTTTATAATAAAAATGTTTCCCAAAAAAACCTTTAAGTAAAACTCACTCTTCAGGAAAATGTACCACATTTTCTCCTATAAATTTGCATACCCCAACATAATACTCCTCACCTATACGTATTCCCCAGTTGAAGACATACTGCTTAGATCATCGGGTCTGGGTATCATTTTGAAAACAGAAATCCTAATTAGCCAGGTGTGGTGACATACATATGCCTGTAGTCCCACCTACTTGGGAGGCTGAGATGGGAGGATCGCTTGAGCCCAGGAGTTCTAGGATGCAGTGAGCTGTGATTGTACCACTGCACTCTACCCTGGGCAACAGAGTGAGACTTCATCTTTTGCTGTGGGGGAAAAGGTGCATATTTCCCTGGAGAAAGAGATTGAGAATCAAGAGGCAAGGATGAAAAACTCAATCTGGTTGAATCTGGAAGGCTTACTTAGTTCAGAAAAGTGAGTAGTGGTTTGAAGTTGAGTTAAGCTGTAGTGGGATGAGAAAGGAGTATTTTATGTCAGAACTACAGAAGAATGATGATAGAGAAACGGTTTAGCATTTTAAAGCCTGAGAAGTCCTACAATAAAGGGACCTTTTTAATTGTTTAATGTAGCATCTCTAAAACTTGACAACAGACCGTTTGTTTTTCTTACATGCCCCTGCGAAACCACGTGGAACAAGTTAAGTGTTCCAAAGAGCCTGCTTTAGGAAATAACTGACCAAAGAAAGTTATGTCATTTAGAAGGAAAGAAGAGTGGTTAACTGCACAAAATAAATTATGACAGAAATCATCTTAGCACTCCAGAAGATACGGAAACATGGCTGGGTCCAGTGGCTGACGCCTGTAATCTCAGCACTTTGAGAAGCCAAGGCAGGTGGATCACTTGAGGTCAGGAGTTTGAGACCAGCCTGGTCAATGTGGTGAAATCCCGTCTCTACTAAAAATACAAAACTTAGCCAGGCATGGTGGTGCATGCCTGTAATCCCAGGTTCTTGGGTGGTTGAGCCACGAGACTCACTTGAAACCCGGGAGGCAATGGTTACAGTGAGCCGAAATCGCACCACTGTACTCCAGCCTGGGTGACAGAGTGAGACTGTGTCTCAAAAAAGAAACAAAACGAAAACAAAAACAGAAGATTATGGAATAATTTACTCAGATTCCCCAGATAAATTATACTTTGCTTTACTATTTTAAAGATAAGTGTGTTTTTA